CACACACACCACGCGTCACTACACACACTACACACACGCACGCACGCACGCACGCACGCACACACACACACACACACACACACACACACACACACACACACACACACACACACACACGCACACACGCACGCACACACGCTCACACACGCACACGCAAACACACTGAGAAAGATTTCGCATGAGTAATGTTGTAATCGCTTTAGCAGTTATCGAGCGTCAAACCGCCCGCTTTTTAATGCCACAGCCCGGCTGTATTTTGTTAGGCTGTAGCTCCGGTTTCGGGTTCTAACAAAATTCATAGCGAAATCTCAATTCGAAAATTTAAAATCTTCGCTTCTTCATCTTTCGTTAGGAGAGTGTTTGGTGTGCGCGTGACGTAGGAGGGACGTGTGCACGCGTGACGTGGGTCAGTGTTGCGCACGCGTGACGTAACAGCAACGCGTGCGCGCGTGACGTAACAGCAACGCGTGCTCGCGTGACGTAACAGCAACGCGTGCGCGCGTGACGTAATAGCAACGCGTGCTCGCGTGACGTAACAGCAACGCGTGCTCGCGTGACGTAACAGCAACGCGTGCGCGCGTGACGTAACAGCAACGCGTGCGCGCGTGACGTAACAGCAACGCGTGCGCGCGTGACGTAACAGCAACGCGTGACGTAAGATCTCGGCGCAGGCGACGACAGTTCGACCGAGCAGTCACCTTCCCCCTCCCCCTCCCCATCACGCCACCTCCCGGGAGGAGGGGTGGAAAGGGGAATCGAAAAGAAGACTGTTGAAGTTTGTATTGCCTGTGTCAATATCGGCTCTGCTGACGCCCGTGCGCTGAGATCGGGCGACCCCGCAGCCGACCTCGCCAACCCCAATTTCCCGCGCTGCCTGAGGGGAGAGACGAGGCTGGAAGATGGAGGATGATAGAGCAAGAGAGAAAGAGAGAGAGAGAAAGAGAGAGAGAGAGAGAGAGAGAGAGAGAGAGAGAGAGGGAGAGAGAGAGAGAAGAGAGAAGAGAGGGAAGAAGAGAGAGGAAGAGAAGAGAGGGGAGAGGAAGAAGAGAGAGAGAGAAGAGAGAGGAGAGAGGAGAGAGCCAGAGAGATGAGAGTAGGAGGAGAGAGAGAGAGAGAGAGAGACGAGAGAGGGAGAGAGAGACGACGAGAGAGAAGAAGCAGAGGAGAGAGAGAAGAGAGAGAGGATAGAGAGAAGAGAGAGAGAGAGAGGAAAAGAGAGAGAGACAGAGAGAGAGAAGAGAAGAGAAAAAAAGAGAGAGAGAGAGAAAAAGAGAGAGAGACAGGAGCCCCGAGAGAGAGAGAAGAGAGAGAGAGAGGAGAAGAGAGAGAGAGAGAGAGAAGAGAGAGAGAACAGAGAGAGAAGAAGAAGCGAGAGAGAGGGAAAGAGGAGGAGAGAGAGAAGAGAGGAGAGAGAGAGAAGACGAGAGAAGAGGTGGGAAAGAAAGATGGAGAGAGAGAGAGAGAAAGAGGGGAAGAAAAGAGGACGAGAGAGAGAGAGAAGAGAGAGAGAGAGAGAGAAAGAGAGAGACGACAGAGAGAGAGAGGAGAGAGGAGAGAGAAGAGAGAGAGAAAGGAGAGAAAAAGAAGCGAGAGAGAGAATAAGAGAAGAGAAGAGACGCGAGAGAGAGCGAGCAGAGAGAGAGAAGAAACGAGAGAGAGAGAGAGATAGAGAGCGAGAGAGGGAGAAGAGGAAGAGAAGGGGACGAGAGAGAAGAGAGAGGGGAGAGAGAGGGAGGGAGGGCGGCGAAGAGAGGGGGAGAGAAGGGAAGAGAGAAGACGAGAGAGAGAGAGAGAGAGATGGGAAGCAGAGGAGAAGAGACGGGAGAGAGAGAAAGACGAGAGAGAGAGATGGGAAGAGAGAGAGAGAGAGAGAGAGAGAGAGAGGAGAGAAGAGAGAGAGAGAGAGCACGAGTAGAGAGGGAGAAGAATAGAGGGGGAGAAAGCAATCGAGTGGCGATACAGATGTCGAGTCAAAAAAAAAAGAGAGAGAGAGACAGGGAGAGAGAGGAGAAAGTTGCGTGAAGTCCTCATTTGCATATTCACAGCCGTCCGCAAGGAGAGTGAGTGCGTCTGTGTATGCCCGCGTGCGTGCGTGCGTGCGTGCGTACGTATCAGGATACAAGTATTTGCTTCCGATGCTCTCTCTTGTGCGTAATGTCTCTCTTCAGCGCTATCTCTTCCCACTCATCATAGTTTAACGTTTAAATTAACGCCAGAACAAACACTCACACGTCGGCCAAACATTCACGCGCGCGTCGGCACACGCATACAGACGACCAGGTCGCAACGCGCTCGCAGCGCCACCACACTCTACGACACGTCATCAGTATCTGCCGCGAATTGTAGTACGTCATCGGTTATGCAGCAAATTTAAAACACGTCATCACTATTACTGCAAATAACGAAACGTCATCAATATTAAAACGCGTAAAACGACACGTCACAATAAATAATCATAATTGATAATAATAAAAATATATAACAATAGCAGGAGTATATAAAAAATAAAAATAAAAATAAATAATAAAAATAATAAAACAGCACCAATGACAACATCAACAACATCAGCAATAACAACGTCAACAACAACAACAAAAACAAAACAACGACGACAACAACCATGACGATGACAGCCACAGCACGTACTCACCTCGAACTCCTTGTTCGTTCCGAAGTAGATCGGCACGAACGCCAGCCACACGATGCACGTTGTGTACATCGTGAAGCCGATGAACTTGCTCTCGTTGAAGTTCTCCGGTATCTTCCTCGTCTTCACCGCGTACACCGTGCACGTGATGATCAGCATCATCACGTAGACGAGCGACACAAGGAACGCCGAGTCCTCCATCTTGCATTTCAGAATCACCTCGACTCGACTCGGATAGAAAGGTCGCGTACGCGGCGGTTCTATGACGAGCCAGATCACCGTAGCAACGACCTGTACGGAGGTGAGTACGCTTGCTATGAGAACTTGCGAGCGTGGCGATATGTAGCCCGGTCGCTTTGCGGATTTACTCGCCGAGTCGAAGATCCGGGATATCCGGTTTGTCTTCGTCAGCAGCGCGGCGTACATCATGCAAAATCCGAAACCGACTCCGAAGCGTTGCAGTCCGCATACGCGCGGAGACGGTTTCGCTAGGAGAGCGAACGACATAAGATAACTGACAAGGATCCCTCCCAGCAGCATGTAGGATAGTTCCCTTCCCGACGCCTTCACGATCGCGGTGTCGTTGTTTCGAACAAAGATGGCGATTGTTGCTAGCGTGAGACAGACGCCGGCGATGGCGATCACCATGGGAACGATAGCGTAAACAGAGTACCACTGCATGTACTTCTGCTCAAGGCCGTAGCATCCATTCTTCGCTCCCAGCGGCCATCTTCCGTACCCGCAATCCCTACACGTTAACTCGTCTAAGAGATATTCGTACGGCGCGCATTTCTGGCAAAACCAGCAGCACGTCTCCCCCTGTTGGATCTTCTTCACTTCCCCCGGACCGCACGCGTTCGAGCATTGCGACGGTGGCGGCGCGCTGCGGCCGCGTCCGAAGTCGATGTCGTCGGCGGTGAGGTGGAGGCCTTTGTCCCAGCGGCCGACGGTGACGTAGGCGTAGTCGCCTGTCTCGTTGTCGCGCCGGAAGTTCATGATGTCGTAGCGACCTAGTCCGTCGCCACGCTCGTCGAACTGGACCTGACTTCCGCCCCAGTCTGTAAGAGAGCGAGAGAAAGAGAGGAGGGGTTAGTGATGGTGTTAGAGAGAGAGAGAAGGGGGCAGAGTTAGTGATGGTGTTAGAGAGAGAAAGGGAGAGAGAGAGAGGGAGAGGCGGAAGATATATATATATAGAGAGAGAAAGAGATGAGGGAAGAGAGAGAGGGGAAGAGTTGAACAGTTGAATCTGGATCGCGGACGTACACCCCGCCCATGTCTTAAGAGGAGGAGGGGAGAGGAGAGAGGAGAGGAGAGAGGAAGTAGAGAGAGATAGAGGAGAGAGAATGAGAAAGGCTAGAGAGAAGAGA